TGATCTCTCGGTTCGTGGGTCCAAGCCCCGCATAGGGCTCCGTGCTGCTGGATTGGACCCTGGAGCCTGCTTCAGATTCTGTGTCTCCCTCTCTCTCTGCCCCTCCCCCAGTCGTGCGCACGCTCTCTCTCTCTCTCTCTCTCTGTCTCTCTCTCTCCAAAATAAACAAACTTAGAAAAAAGAGAGAGAGAGGAAGTGAGGTACAATCATACGTATGCTGGAGTCACCTTGTAAGAAACTTAACACAATAGCCAAAAGTCCCTAAAAAACCAAATTCCCATCTTGTTTGCATCTCTTGAAGAATGTAAGAAGGGGAAGCCAATTCATCACTCACAGCTGTTCTCAAAAGTGACCCTGCCAAGTTCGGTCAACAGCCACAGTTGCCCAAGAACTTCTCGAAGGCCAGTCGCCTTGAGAAACCTCACGACGTTTCTTTCACCTATCGTCACTGCCGCCAGTTCCCTATTATGTTCACGAATTCTGACTTTTCCAGTTAGGTCCTTCCAGCTTCCCCTCTGCTTCTCGGTTCCCACCTTTCTCTGCCTGTTCTTTTAGAAGCAGAACCAGGTGTCTAATCAGTCAGCAAGAAGATGCTAACTCCTGGCCTGTGGTGGGTGCTCCAAAAGTTCCACCTTCCTTCCCTGCCCTGCCTTCCCATCCGCTCAATACCAGAATGTTCTCTGAGGAGATGTTCTTTTTTTTTTTTTAATGTTTATTTATTTTGAAAGAGAGCGAGCGAGAAAGTGTGAATGGGGGGGAGGGGCAGAGAGAGAGAGAGACAGAGAGAGAGAGAGAGAGAGAGAGAGAGAATCCCAAGCAGGATCAATCTCACGACCTTGAGATCATGACCTGAGGGGAAATCAAGAGTCAGATGCTTAACTGAGCCACCCAGGTGCCCCTGAGAAAGACCACGTTCTGGTCATCCTTGAAGTTGCGGCACAATGAGGCATTGATTTCCCCCATCAACTCACTTTGTCCCCAGTGTGATTTCTCGTGAGCCCCGTTAGCATTTCTGGAGGAAGGAGAGACTGCAAGAATTATTTAAGTGAGAGGGTTTCTGTATCAAGAATGAGGTCCAGTATCATTCAACCATTCAACTATTTATTCAGCAAATATTTACTGAGCACCTGTCAATGCATCCAACACAGACCAGTTATTGGGGGACAAAAAAGATACGACATCACCCCAATCTTGGGGATCTCTAATCTAGGGTGCCCAAAAGGTTTTAGGGCAGGGTCCCCTCAAAGGACTAAAGGTGGCCCTGAACCTGAGGAGGCCTGTACAGGCTCCCTGGCAACCAGCGGGTGTCTCCTCATTCCGTCCGAGTACGGCGGCTGACGGAAACCTATTTCGTGGCCAGCTGACTGAGAGATGTGGCTGTCACCAGGCGGTGCTGAGGTGTGCATGGCAGGTGACCAGGAAGCTCTGAAGCCGGGACTCCAGGATCCAGGCGGCCCTCCACCCAGCCCCGGGCCTCACTGTCCTCCCAGGGCCCAGACAACTGGTCACTCGTTCAGTTACCGAGCCCCTACTATGTACGCGACAAGCAGTGGACGAGGCAGACAGACATCTTCACCCTCACTGACCGACGTGCCAGCAGAGGAGCTAGCGAGTCTGATGTCGCAGGGTCTTGAGTGTTACAATTAACACAAGATGAAGGCAGAGAGCCTGGAGCAGGGGAGGGGCCCACGTGGAGAGGGTCCGAGGAATGCCCTCCTCAGAGGCGATGCGGGCAGAGACCTGAACCGCCAGGTGGGCAGGGCCGAAGTAGAGCTCTTGACAATCCCATGTCTCCCTTCACGCCCTGCTTTCCTCCTCTCCAAAGGCTTGTCATGGGAGAGGAAATGGCCCTCCTTCTGATTTTTCCTTGGTTCTGTCAGCTTCCCAAAGACAAAATAACAAACAACAGGTGGCAAATTCTTCTACACCCCCAGGGAGGTGCTGGACCACATATGTAGGACGCGGACGGGAGGCGTTAGTGACTGAAGCCCGGAAAGGGAATTCGATCATTTCTTTGGAGGTGATTGCCAGGGGGAGGCTCACACCATCCAGGCCTTAGTGAGTGCCGCCCAGGGTCCCTCCCAGTGCCCCAGAGACAGGCAGTGTAGGGACCGCAGCCCAGCACTTCAGCGCCACCAAATGAGGCTCGTCCCTTGCCTGTCCTCCTCCCCGCTCCTGCCAACGCCAGAAGAAAGGGTCAGAAACTACAGTCATCAAGCCAGAAGGGAGAGGAGAGGGAAAACAGAGAAGCCCTCTCCTCCCAAAATGTGCCCACAGCCTGTGTGGGTCCAGGGAGAGTCCCCAGACACGGTGTGGGCCACCAAAGTTTTTATCTACGAGTGAGCCCAAAAGGCTGGGGCCTGCCCACGGGCTCACCCAGGAGGAGAGAAGCCAGTGCCCACAGCGGGTCTGAACAAGCCGTGGTCTGGTCGTACCCCAACAACCCTGCTCCTTTAAGGGACTAGCTACACACTCCTCACGCTGCCTAGAAAAAGCCCTCGTTGCTGTCCCCTTCCTGTGTCTGCATCAGCTGTTTGGACCCTCACCTCCTGGCCTCTGCTCCTGCCCGAGATGCCCCATTAGCTGCTCAGCCAGGCTGCTGGTGCCTCAAGCTAATGGCCCTGCCACCCCGCCCTCCTCTCCCTTCCGGCTCACTGCCCATCCTGGACACCCTCCCTCAGGCCATCGAGGGGGACTCCTGAGCCTCAGAGACATCTGGCAGCACCAAGAGGTGAGTCCCTCTTTCTGTGGCTCCTCTCCCCATGGCGATTATTCCCCAGACCCCCCAGTTTACCTGCTTAGGATGCTCCCTGAGGTTGGTCAAGGTCATTCTCTGTGGCACTGATGGGACCCGACTTGCCCTGGCTCTGCCCTGGCGCCCCGCCTCGCCTGCCCTTTACCACAGCCTTCACCTTACCCAAATCCTGACAACCCCCCCCCAACTCCACTGTCTGCGGGGCAGGCTCTCCACGGTCCTGGGGGGTGTGGGGGGCAGCTGCTTCTCTTCCCAGGGAATTAGGGGAGAGGGGTGGACTCAGGAGACTTAGTCCTAGGAAAAACACACACACGGTGGGACCCGGCTCTAATTTTCTACCCTTTCTCTCCCCAGTCTCAGAAATCAGGAGGCTCTCCCTCCGATGGGACCCGCACGCTTCCATGGTGTTTTAAGAGAGGATACGGTGGGAAGAAAGCAGAGGACTGAGGGCTAGCAGTCCTCGCTCCTCACTCGGGCTCACCTGCTAACTGGAGCCGCTTCTCTCCGAGGGCCTCCCTCATTGAGACAGTTGATATCTCACAGAACGGCTTCTAATACCCTAGCAGTCTGTGATCCCAGGAGCCCCCGATCCCCCCACCCCTCCACGGGCCTAGCCGAGGCTGGGGAGCGAGTGGAGGTCAGGAGCGTGGAGGCCAGCCCTGGCCCCATGGACCTGCCCCCGCAGCTCTCCTTCGCCCTCTACGTGGCCGCCTTTGCACTGGGCTTCCCACTCAACGCCCTGGCCATTGGGGGCGCCGTGTCCCATGCCCGGCTCCGCCTCACCCCCAGCCTTGTCTATGCCCTCCACCTAGGCTGCTCTGACCTCCTGCTGGCAGCCTCTCTGCCCCTGAAGGCGGTGGAGGCCCTGGCCTTGGGCGCCTGGCCTCTGCCGGCCTCGCTCTGTCCTGCCTTTGCCCTGGCCCACTTTGCTCCGCTCTATGCTGGCGGGGGCTTCCTGGCTGCCTTGAGTGTCGGCCGCTACCTGGGGGCTGCCTTTCCCTTGGGGTACCAAGCTGCCCGGAGGCCGCGTTATTCCTGGGGTGTGTGTGTGGCCATATGGGCCCTTGTCCTCTGTCACCTGGGGCTGGTCTTTGGGTTGGAGGCTCCAGGAGGCTGGACAGACAATACCAACAGCTCCCTGGGCATCAACACGCCAGTGAACGGCTCTCCGGTCTGCCTGGAGGCCTGGGACCCGGCCTCAGCGGGCCCTGCTCGCCTCAGCCTTTCTCTCCTGCTCTTCTTCCTCCCCCTGACCATCACAGCCTTCTGTTACGTGGGCTGCCTCCGGGCACTGGCCCGGTCAGGCCTGAGCCACAGACGGAAGCTGAGGGCAGCCTGGGTGGCCGGCGGGGCTCTGCTCACACTGCTGCTCTGCTTAGGGCCTTACAACGCCTCCAACGTGGCTGCCTTCCTGCACCCCGACACGGGGGGCCACTGGCGGAAAGTGGGGCTCATCACGGGTGCCTGGAGTGTGGTGCTCAACCCGTTGGTGACTGGCTACCTGGGAGGGGGTGCCGGCCGGGCGACAAGTGTGGCAAGAACGAAAGGAGGGACATCCCAGAAGCAGCAGCCGCCGCTGGAGAGAAGGGGCATGGAGCAGGGGAGGCCGGCTGCTCTCGCAGGCCCCTGATGGGGACTGCGCCGAAGGAACTGCAGGGCGGCCTTGCCTGGAAGCACCCTTGGAACCGCTTATGGGAAGAACTGAGCCTGGCCGAAGACCGCATCCCAGGGGAGGGAAGACGGAGGCCAGGGGCCAGGTCACAGGAGGAAGGTAAGCTTGCCTCCGCATACATCAGCGTGACTCCCCACCTCTGCCTGTCCCTCTTCTCCTCGCACCCACCTGCCAATGCTGTAGAAATTCTCTTCCAGTCTAGAGGAAATGCCACACTGATGATACGTTCGGGGGGGATGCTGTTCCCCAAACATCTCCTAGGAAAGAATATTTTAATTTCTGAACAAGAGAAGAGGCAGGAGGCAAGATACTGACACTGTTATGCCGTTTGGCACTCACAAGAGGGCAGCACTGGAACTGTGAACGGGAGGTTGGTAGGAAAAGACGCCTCCGCAGGGAGAGAAAATACTAGAGAAAATACACACCACGAAGAGTCCCTAACAAATAGAGTCTCTGATATGGGACAGTCACCACGGCGAGTGCTTTACAAGTGTTGTCCCATTTCATACTCACACGATCCTTTGGTTTGGCTACGCAGCTGCCGTACAGATGGGCAGGTTGTTCACTGCACGAGAGTGCCAGGCAGATGGACAAACATCGACTAAAGTCTAGCCTGTGCTGTGCTCACCGATCCATGTGCCCAGCATGGGACTACTTCCATCCAGAGAAAGAAGCACGTTATTCTAACTTGAACAAAGATATCACCCACTCCTCAAGCAGGGCGCCTCGGTGGAGGGCGCTACCACCTGGAGTGGGGTGCCTTTTCCTAATTTGTACAAAGGCGCCCCTTAAGTTAGCTATGGTCCCGGAGCCAAGTATTATTATCATCTTCATTTTTGCAGGATTAAGGAATTGTCCTGAGTCTCTACAGTACGGAAGGGGGGGGACGCGTGATGCGATCCTTCAAGGCAGGACCCCCAAGGGTCAGGGGACATATGAAAGAACTTGAGGTATTGGTGTGAACGCCCGTCCTTGTGGTCCACTTTGCAAAGGCAAACACTGGCACCCTGAACCCGTGAGAGCAGGGAGAGAAGAGTGGTCATGGAGGAGACAAACATCTGGGCACCTGCTCTGATGAGGCAAGATGCGGGAAGCAGACTTGTTCCTCTAAAGGCGATCACGTCGCGAGCATAGCCTATGCCACAGAACGGGTAGCTGCATGCCTGGCGTGCACGCGCTGGTTTATACAAGCTACCTCTTTTTATGCGTCAGTGTCTACAAGGGCAAGGGGTTTCATTTGCTCATCTGCCCCCAGCACCTTAGAAGGGAGCTTGGCACGTAGCAGCAGGTTCTCAGGAAGTGTCTGCCGAACAAATGAATGCTCGCAAGAGCCTTCCAAAGAAAATTTCATTATCTGTTTTACATGAAAACAGACCAGAGAAGTTGCATAACTTGCCCGGGGCTCCGCAGAAGCAAGAAACCAGTTTATTCCCTGCACAGCGGTGACAGCAGAGAATTTCAGTAAAAGCCCGAACTCCTGAGCACAAGCGGCCTCACTGCCCCTTCCCATAAAGCCAGGGACGCTCTCTCCCACCGCTCTGGAGCTCCAGCTGGTGCTGGGCCATTTGTCCCAGAGAATTGTGCCGCCTCCATTTGGCGGTGGAATTTAGTTCCTCCCGAGGGTCCACGATGCCCCACGTGATCCGCCCCCCAGCACCCTGGTGACCCCCACCCCGTCAGCCCTAAGCCTTCTAGAGGCCCCCCCCAGCAGATTAGCCTGTGCACCCACCTTTCTGTTTGCCTGAAGGGCCTCCCCAGTGGTTCTCTGCCTCTGTTAGTCTGTCCTACCCTCCTACCACTCAATCCCCTTAGACCTCACCACCACCAGACCCACGGCAGCAACATCTTTGTTTTGCTCACCATTTTTTTTTTATTTTTTTAACGTTTATTTATTTTTGAGACAGGGAGAGACAGCATGAAAGGGGGAGGGTCAGAGAGAGAGGGAGACACAGAATCTGAAACGGGCTCCAGGCTCTGAGCTGTCAGCACAGAGCCTGACGCGGGGCTCAAACTCACGGACCGCGAGATCATGACCTGAGCCGAAGTCGGATGCTTAACCGACTGAGCCACCCAGGCGCCCCTGCTCACCATTTTTAACAACTTACTTGAGATAAAATTTACGTATCATAAAATTCACCCATTTCAAGTGCACACGTCAAGGGTTTTTAGTACTCTGACTAAGGCTTGCAACCATCACTATACTCCAGGTTAGAACACGGTCGTCACCCCAGTAAGAGCCCTCCTGCTCGTTTACAGCTGATTCCATTTCCCCCTACGTCCCCAGGCAACCGGCAATCGACTTTCTACTTTCTGTCTCCATAAAGTCGCCTATCTTGGACAATTCATATAAACGGAAACATACGATATATGGTCTTTTATGTCTGGCTTGTTTCACGTGGCATAATGTTTTTGAGCTGCACCCATATTCTGGGCGTTTCATTCCTTCCTATTGCCAAAGAGTATTCCATCGCGTGGATATGCCACGTGGTGGATCCGTTCGCCAGCTGATGGGCCACCAGGGGATGTTTCTACTTTGGGGCCATTATGAACATTGCTTAAGTAGATACCTATTAGTGGAGCTGGGTCACTCGGTAGATTTACGTGAACTGTTTCAAGAAACTGCTTCCCAAAGGCACCCTACAATTTTATATTTTTACCAGCAAAGTATGAGGACTCTCATTCCTCCACATCCTCCCCACCACTTGGTATTATCAAATTTTTTGCTTATGGCCAGCCCAGCGGGTACAGAATGGTATCTCATTGTGTTCCATAAATATTTGAATGAATACAGAAAGAAGAAGTCTCTGAAGCTGGACAGAGCTTCAGTTTGAACCCTGCTGGTGATGCTTAACAGGCTGCAGCAGTGAGTCACCTCCCCACTGTGAGGCGAAGGGCAGGTTGGCGATGCCCTCAGAAGCAGAGTGCCTGCCACGGATTACGTGCCCCCTCAATCTTCATTATCACTATTAGTGCTGTTGTTATTCCCATCACCCCAGAGACAAGCCCACACCCATGACTGCGATGTTGGCAGCTAACATCTGTTAGTACTTACCATAACATGCCCACTTCCCTTCTCAGCACTCGACAGGCAGTAGCAATGCCTTAATCTAACAAAACCCTACGAAACTGGTACTGTGATTATCCCTGCTTTGCAGACGAGAAAGCAGAGATCGAGAGTTTGGGTCACTTGCCCCAAATCCCAGAGTTAGTGACGGAGCCGGCATCGCACCCGGGCTCTGGCTCCGGAGCACGGGCCCTCCATCACTGCGTCGTGCTTCCTGCCCTTACAAGGCAAGTTGGACGACCGCCATTCCAGAGAAGCAGATACAATTCCAGTGGAGGATCGGGGAGGGGAAGATGAGGTCGGCTCGGGGCTGGGTAGAGCATCCCCTCCGAGGCAGCCGGAGAGCACGCCGCGGTGGAATTTGCTCCTCATTTTGCATACTCACGCGGTGCTGGTGATGGAGCAAAAGGCATCTTTTGTGCGATTGCCCAACGGTGAATGAGGTCATCTGTCTTTATCAGTTCTGCCAGATAAATAGCTAACTATATTTCTCTAGAGGAGCCGGCGAGGTGCTGGGGCAAAAGCAGTTGGGTTCTCAAATAAGCAGGTGAGCACGGGGCTCTGGGGGGTCTGGAGGGGGAGCCTCGGCGCTTGCTTTTCTCGGGGAAGGGACAGGAGACAGGGTATGACCAGGAAGACAGGCAGGCTGACGCTGCTGAGGAAAGCATCAGGGGGGCAATGAGGGAGTCGGGGCGGTGACAGTGTTCCCTGCCAACGGTCGAGATGCCGTCGGCACGGGGCACCAAGGTCCCCACCCAGACTGCCACCTCCGTCCGCCTCTTTCTCCAGTGGCCATCACCATGGACACCAGCCCGGACCGGTCCTTCTTCCCCGGTAATCACTGGCTCTACTTCTCCGTGTACCTCTTCACCTTCCTCGTGGGGCTCCCCCTCAACCTGGCGGCCCTGGTGATCTTCGTGGGCAAGCTGCGGCGCCGCCCGGTGGCTGTGGACGTGCTCTTGCTCAACCTGACGCTCTCAGACCTGCTCCTGCTGCTCTTCCTGCCCTTCCGCATGGTGGAGGCGGCCAACGGCATGCGCTGGCCCCTGCCCTTCATCTTCTGCCCCCTCTCCGGATCCCTCTTCTTCACCACCCTCTACCTCACCTCCCTCTTCCTGGCAGCTGTGAGCGTCGAACGCTTCCTCAGCGTGGCCTACCCGCTGTGGTACAAGGCCCGGCCGAGGCCGGGACAGGCCGGCCTGGTCAGCGGGGCCTGCTGGCTCCTGGCTGCCGCTCACTGCAGCGTGGTCTACGTGATGGAATTCTCCGGGAAGGCCACCAACGGCACCTGCTACCTGGAGTTCCAGAAGGACCAGCTGGCGATTCTCCTGCCCGTCAGGCTGGAGATGGCTGTGGTCCTTTTTGGGGTGCCCCTGCTCATCACCATCTACTGCTACAGCCACCTGGTGTGGGTGCTCAGCAGAGGCACCAACCACCGGCGGCGGAGGAGGGTGGTTGGGCTCGTGGTGGCCACGCTGCTCAACTTCCTCGTCTGCTTTGGGCCCTACAACGTGTCCCACGTCGTGGGCTACATCCAGGGTGAAAGCCCGGCGTGGAGAAGTTACGTGCTGCTCCTCAGCACCTTGAACTCCTGCGTCGACCCGCTTGTCTACTACTTTTCATCCTCTGGGTTTCAGGCTGACTTTCAGGGGCTGCTGAGGAGGCTGACGGGGGCCTGGGGCCCTTGGAGGCAGGAGGACAGCAAGCAACTGAAGGACAAGAATGAGGAGGGGGGCAGCCGGGGGAGCTGTCCAACGTAGAGAACAGGAGGGAGACTCCTGGAGGGCTGTGGAGCAGGCTGGGCTGCCGAGGGGCCTGGCGGGGGCTCTCGTAGCTCAAGTCGGGCAGGACCGGGGAGCCGGGGGCTGGGGACTGACGTGACTGAGCACCAGGCTGTGCTCACCCAAGCCCGGCTCTCGGTCTCACCCAACTGCCCTCGCTTCCCATCCCCTGCCCCCTAGGGATTCAGCCCTGGGAAACAGGAGGAGGGCGGGCACCAGAGAAGCGGGAGCCCCCACGGCCAGCTCCTGGGCTTTCCTTAAGGTGACGGAGGAGGAATCGACAGCAGTGACGAAGGCCTGAGAGATGTGCCAGGCAGTGGAAGAAGCCACCCTTCAGAGCTGTTCCTACCCAGCAGGGTGAGAGTGGGGACACAGGCCAGGCTTCAGGGAGCATCCTGCTCTCACAGAAGGTTCCCATTGTTCAGTAAATTCAGACTTTTAGGGACATTTATGAAAAATTACAGTAGAAAAATTACCAATAAATTTGGTAGCAAGCAAAAGAGAATGGTCTTTCCTTATTCTTTTTTTTTTTTTTTTTTTTTTTTTTTTTTTTTTTTTTGCTTATGATGTATCTGCATCAGGTGGGATTGATGGATGGAAGGATAAAACACCAGACTCCAGCGGGAAAGGGCTAAACCATAGGATGCCTAGATGTCGGGAGAGGATCCAGGTTGGAGGCATAAAAATACCAGCTCACTTAGGGGAAGGACTTGGCCTGACCCATTATCTTCTTCGACAACCCTGTGGCAGGTACTGTTATTAAATGAGCAAATGAGAATACCTCACTTTACACACGAGGGAATGGGCCCAGGCAGGTGAAGCCTTCTACCTGAGATCCTACAGCCAGTAAGTGAGTGAAGCAGGACTGGAGGCTGGAATTAGCCGACTCGGAGTCCCGTGCCCCTCACCCACTCTGCTCTCCTGACTCCAGCTGCGTATCATCCGTATGATGCCATATGGATGATGCCTAGTCTGGCTTCCAGAGCCAGTGAGCCAGTGTGGCCGGGACAAATGTAAACAGGCCACGAGGAAAACTGGAACTACATGCAAAGCAGCTCGGCTCTCTGCGTTGCTAAGTCCTCTTCCCCTATTCTTTATTAGAAACCCACTTGAAAAAATAAATTAGTCAGCACAGTTGACTTCAAAGATAGATGCATACTCTTAGCTATTTTTAGCGAGATGTGACCATTTAGTAAGTTTGCCTTCCTCCCTGAGGAGTGGTGCATGAGAAACAGTCGGTTAGAGCCTCCTCGCCCAGCAAGGCAACCAGAGACACGTGGGCACGTGTTGGCACTCACTTGGCCTTAGTTCAAAAACATTTGTTGTGCACCCACAGTGTGCAGGTGGCTGGGCTGAGAACCGTGTGCAGGTGGCTGGGCTGAGAACGGCAAGGACTTTTAATATTAAGCGTCTGCTTTCTTGCTGGGGTTAAGGTCGCTGGAGAATGAGGGCTGGCTGTGGGTGAGGGATTGGGTTTCGGGTGGAAGGAGAGAGCCATCATCTCGGTGCAGAGATGAAGGCCTGAGCTGTCTCTCTGACCTGTGACTCATCTTCTGTCCCAAGGAACTCAGTCCCTGGTGGAAGCTAAGAAGTTAATATAAATATGAGTCTACGTGGTTCAGAAAGGGAACAAGGGTGACAGGGAGTCCTGCGACTCCAAAACTGGTAACAAGGACCCAACTGGGGACAAAAAGGAGTTGGAAACTCCACATTCTAGAGACAGCCATGAACAATAGGAGCCTGACCCTTTTCTCAGGGTTTATCATGAAGAATAAGAGGCAGCTTGGAGGGCTTTGCTGCTTCCAACCATCACCCAGCACTATCCCCTCCCCAGTCTGTATAAGCAAAAGGCTAGGGGTGGGGAGGGTGAAAAGTCATCAGATGCTGGGGCCATCGTCTGGGTGGTGGTGAGGGGACTGCGGTAGTGTTTTCCAGATTTTGCAGAAGCCAAGGGAAAGGGCTGTTCAGGGAAGAATGGAAGGTGTATCCTGGGACGAAAGCAGAGAAACGAGACTGGCAGACAGAGGGCGTGGGAGCACGTGTGTGAGTGACGAGCATCGTGCCCTCTCACCGGTTGGCAGAGCAAGCATGTGGGGGGCCCCCAAGGGGGAGGTGGAAATTCTGGGGATGCCAGAAGAGGTCAAGCCAGCTTGGATCTCCCAAGATAGCCGTCAGAAGAACACAGTTCTAGCTGCAAAAGAGAGCCAGTAATTGGGCACCTGACTCACAATGGACACCAAAAGTTACTCAATATTTAGCTACAGCACTGTTTCTCAAACTTCTTTGTATCTCTGTCCTCTCAAGGAGCCTTTGTGGATATTTTTTCCTATTCAGCACCTTACTCTTCCCTGCCTGTGAAACTTTAATACAACAGACACACTCTATACCTACGCCTGTGTGTGCATGGCCCTTTGGAAAGCCACAAACCATTGCTTCCTTGGAACTAATTTTCGCCTCTCTGGGGGGCAATGTTGGCCCTGCTGAGAATCCATGAGCTAGAGAACCCATCCCACAGAGTGATAAAGCCTGTCTCACTCAACCATAGCCCCGTAGCCCCATGAGGTGAAGTTTATTATCCTTCTGGAGCAAAGGAGACCTCATTCCAGAGGAAGCATGGGCATCTCACAAGAGAAGAGACAGGGCTAGTGTAGAATTTGGAGTAAGGGGACTGTTTAGGTGAAGTTTCAGTGAAGTAGTGCTTGCCAGGCTCTGAGCTAAGCAGGCCTGCATGCAAAGAGGTCAATTTCAGGCCTGGGCTGAGAAGCGGACTCAGGGTCCTGTTCCATTGGAAAATACGAATAAACGATAAAGGTAGGATTTTTGTCTGAAAACTCGTTGTCTGAAGCTCTGGGGGTTGAAAAGCTTTTGCTGCTCAGATCCTCCTAGCAGCAGAGGGATACTCCATTCTTACTGAAAGGATTTCAAACAGCCAAGTTTCTGACAGTCTGTGATTTTACAGAACAAGGTTTCTCAGCAATATAACTTGGCTAGTTAACAAAACAAATTTTTAGGGGCTTCTGGTAGCTCAGTCAGTTAAGTGTCTGACTCTTGATTTCAGCTCAGGTCACGATCTTACGGCTTATGAGTTCGAGTCCTACATCGGGCTCTGTGCTGACAGTGCAAAGCCTGTTTGGGACTCTCGTTTTCTCCCTCTCTCTCTCTCTCTCTGCCCCTCCCTTGCTTGTGCTCTCTCTCTCAAAATAAATAAATAAACTTAAAAAACAAACAAACAGGTTTTTAAAGGTTTACAAAAGGAACTCATTGATGGCCATGATGGAGGAGGAGATTTTCCCTTTTAGAAGGAAGGGTTCCCCCTTCAGCAAGCCCTAGGGCAGCACAACCCAGAAGGGTAAGAGGAAGGGTAGACTTGCCTCATCCCTGCCACAGGTTCCCAGGGCCATAGGTGAAGGCTTAGCTTATAGGACAGAGAGAGGAGGCCAGAAGTTTTAAATCTCCAAGTGTGGCCAGAAACCTACTCACAAAATCATTAAGAAACTGGCAGGGACAGGTCAATACAGGCAGGACAGTTCAATACAAAGCAGTGAGTAGTTCACCTGCTACAGGCTTGTGCCACAACAAGTCAAACTATTTATAAACCAATTCCCCATCAGAGGAGGGCAGAGGGGCAAGCAGGAAGCAGAGAGGAAGCTGGGTATACGGGAAGGCAGGCTGACTTGATGCCTTTTCCTGAGTTAAATACATCACCGGTGACCAGAGTCTTTGGGTATTTTAGCAAGTGACCTCTCAGCCTGTGAATGCGCCCAGCAGGGCAAGGGAAGCTGTAATACAAAGCAGGAGAGGTAAATCTGCTTCATGTGGATGCTGGGAGGGGGTGCAAAAAGTAGGCCAGGTCCGGGTTGGGAGGGAGGAATAGATGGGGTGAGCAACAATCCTGGGATTCTGCAAAATTATTGCAACAATCATCCAAAAGCAGGAAGCAGAGTGGCAATAAAAGAAAGAAGGTGAAAGAAGCCAGGCTGTAAATTCTGGGAGAGGAGAATTAGAAGTGGGACACAGAGTTTGCAATGGAGGAAACAAGTAAAGTGAAATAGTGTGAGAAAGCGCTCAACTCTTTACCTTCCTCTCTCTGATATGACCTCTCTGGTTAAAAAAAAAACAAAACAAAAAAAAAACCAAGTTATTACAGGCATCTGTGGCCCCTAAAACTCTGCAAAGTCTTCTGACTTCCTTTTAAAGTCAGTTCTGAAAAACCACCCAGATGGAGGGAGATCAAGGCACCAAGATGGCAGCCTGTGATCTCGGAAGAGGATACTGAGATCACACTCCAGAAAAAAATGGGATAGAAGAAATGAAGTCTGAGAAACCTGGTGGTAGTGGGATGGGTAGTGGGGGAACCAGAGTTCACCCCCCATGGAAGCGTGGAGCGAGGGAAGAGTAAATATTGCAGAAGACGGAATGGGGTATTTTTGGAAGGGAGGTGATTTTAACTGAATTTAGACTCATTTCACTGAATTTGGACAACCAAATCAAGAATCTCCTGTTGCAGATCCCCCAGCCCCAGGGTCAGTTTGTAAATGGCACTGACCACACCATTCTTGTTCCCATTTATTGGTGACTGCTCTCAGGCAGAACACACAATGACCCAATTCTAGCCAGAAAAATTCTAGCTCTCAGGAAGAACACACAATGACCCAATTTTAGCCAGTAAGAGGTCTGCTGGGGGGTCTCCTGGAAACCATATTGAAAGAGATAGATGTGTGAAGAGCTACCCTCTCGCTTCCTGGTTTGGAAACTTTTATGTGAGGATGTGATACTTGGGATTGCAGCAGCCATTTGGGGGCCATCATGCCACAAACTTGAGGAAGAATGCTAACAAGCTAAAGGTGGTGGAGGAGAAGGACAAAAAGGCCTTGCTGAATTGGGACCCCCACCTCCACACTCACTGTTAATAAACATTCCTATAGGTGACTCACCATTAGCCAGATAGCCGCTAACTTGCAGCCAAATGCATCTTAACTGTAATGGATAAGCCTCTGTCTAAGCATCCTATATCCTATATCCCGTCACCACTTGGTGACATCTTCTCTTCCTC